GTTTCTGAAACCCATTCGATTGGATATTGATCCATCAGTTAGTTCCGCCTCCAAGGAATGGGAGCACTGGCTCCGAACCTTTGAGAATTTTCTCTTGGCATATACACCGACCGAAGAAGAAGATTTGCTTCTTTTTGCACCCAGTAAGTTGAATTTGCTAATCAATCATGTGTCTTCAAGGGTATACTCATATATCAGTGAGTGTTCAACTTATGACGCTGCTATCAGCCTACTAAATACGATTTTTATCAAACCTAAGAATATTATCTACGCTAGGCACATGCTAGCTACTAGAAAGCAACTTAATGAGGAAAATATCGATGCATACATACAGGCCTTAAAACTATTATCTAGAGAATGCCAGTTTCAAAGCGTGGACGCCGAAACTAATCGATCTGACAATATACGTGACGCATTTATTTCGGGAATCCAGTCAAATAAGATAAGACAGCGATTACTCGAGAATCTGACGTTAACCCTCGATGAAGCGTACAATCAAGCATTATCCTTAGAGATGGCAGAGATTAATTCCCAACAATACAACGTTATTGGCTTAAACGCTGTTCAACAACTTGGAGGAGGAGTATCACAGCCTGAAGATCAGTGCGAGGAACATACCGTCGCAGCTTCGCCCTCTTACAAGAGCTCTTACAAAAATAAACGAAAATGTTTCTTTTGCGGAAGTGGACGCATTCATCCCCGAAAGGAGTGTCCTGCTGTCAACCAATCCTGTCAACTTTGTGATAAGAAGGGACATTTCGCGATAGTGTGCCGCAGTAATAAGCCAAATAATGCTGCAGTTTTGGAACGAGGAGAAAATACTTCAGCATGTATAGGTATTGTAGCAGCTTCTCCCAGCTCTTTAAAGAAAGCAACTGTAATAGCATATATTCAAGGAGTCCGAGCTGAAGCACTGATTGATACAGGTAGTAGTTTGAGTTTCATAGATGAATCGTATTTTAATTTGTTACGACTTAAAAAGAAACCTAGTAACCAATGTATTTCAATGGCTTCAACCTCTCTAACATCACAAGTTGCAGGAGAAACCTGGGTATCTGCTAAAGTCGGCCAGTACGATTATCAAAATTTACATTTACTGATAGTGAAGGATTTGTGCGCTGATTTAATTATAGGTCACGATATTCTTAAAAAGCATTCTTCTCTTGAATTAAATTTTGGTGGAACGAAAGAACCTATCAAAGTGTGTGGAGTTGCGGCAGCTTCTGTACCTGCGGTACCCTTATTTTCAAATATTTCTTCTGATTGCAAACCTATTGCTATAAAGTCTCGAAGGTATAGCGAAGATGACAAGAAATTTATAAAAGAAGAAATACGAAAACTGTTGATGGAAGGGATCATCGAAGAAAGCACCTCTCCCTGGAGAGCTCAAGTTTTAATTACGAAGAATGCAACTCATAAAAAGCGTCTTGTAATCGATTATTCACAGACAATAAATAGGTATACGCTGCTGGACGCATATCCTCTTCCAAATATGGAAGAATTAGTATCTAATATATCGAATTATTCTATATTTAGTGCAATCGATCTGCAAAGTGCTTACCATCAGATCCCAATCTTATCCGAAGAACGACTATATACTGTTTTCGAAGCGCACGGAAACCTCTATCAATTTCGCCGAATTCCGTTTGGTGTAACTAATGGAGTGTCAAGTTTTCAAGGAGTTCTTGATTGGATCATTAGAGAGGAAGAATTGGAGGGAACATACGTCTATTTGGATGATATAACCATTTGCGGCAAAACTTTACAGGAGCATGACAAGAATCTCGAGAAATTTATGGCAGCCGCTTCCAAATATGGGCTGACTATTAACAAAGAAAAAAGTAAGTTCTCTCAAAATGCAATTAATATCCTGGGTTATCATATAAAGGATCATGTAATCAGACCGGATCCCGACCGCCTTCGACCACTTATTAGTATGCCGCCGCCCCATGATTTACCTTCATTACGAAGAGTTATGGGTTTGTTTGCCCACTATAGCAAATGGATACCAAGATTTTCGGAAAAAGTTCACGCCTTATCAAACACAAAGAATTTTCCATTAGGGAACGAACTTGTACAACGCTTTGAAGAGCTCAAATCTGATATTGCAAAATCAGCTATTAACGCTATAGATCATAACGTGCAGTTCACTGTCGAAACAGATGCTTCGGATCATTCCATAGCGGCAACCTTATCCCAGGCTAACCGACCGGTTGCATTTTTCTCAAGAACACTAAATAAAAGTGAACACAACCACGCTGCTATAGAAAAAGAGGCATATGCAATTGTCGAATCGTTAAAGAAATGGCGTCATTTCCTCATTGGCAAACCATTTCGTCTTATTACTGATCAACGATCTGTATCCTTCATGTTTAATAATAAACTATCAAGTAAAATTAAAAACGAGAAAATACAGCGCTGGCGTCTGGAATTAGCGCCATTCAAGTATGATATTGTGTACCGACCAGGAAAGCAGAATGATGTTGCAGATGCATTGTCGCGTGTTTGTGCTAATATGCAGACTCGCTCTGATAAACTCATTTCTTTACACGACGCATTATGCCATCCTGGTGTTTCGAGAATGACACATTGGGTGAGATCGAAAAATTTGCCTTTTTCTGTAGAAGAAATCAGGAAAACGACTAATTCATGTCGCGTCTGTTCAGAAATAAAACCTAAATATTTTAGGTCTGCTACGCCTGGTCCTGGTTTGGTAAAAGCTACCTCGCCATTTGAAAGATTAAGTATTGATTTTAAAGGACCAGTTCCTTCTAATACGAAGAATAAGTATATACTCACTATTATCGATGAATATTCACGTTTCCCATTTGCCTTCCCATGCGCTGACATGAGCTCTAAGACAGTAATCAAATGTCTTAATGACATATTTATGCTATTTGGTATGCCGTCTTATCTTCATTCAGATAGAGGGACTTCATTCGTTTCTTCGGAGGTAAAAGATTTTCTAAATTCACGAGGAATAGCTACAAGTAGGACTACCCCGTACAATCCTCGGGGAAACGGTCAAGTTGAACGATTAAACGGAACCCTTTGGAAGACAATCCTGTTGGCATTACGATCAAAGAACTTATCAGTAGATAATTGGGAAACAGTATTATCACAAGCTTTACATTCGATACGATCCCTTCTGTGCACAGCTACAAATTGTTCGCCACATGAGAGGATGTTTAAACATACAAGAAGATCTTCTAATGGGGTCTCGCTACCAACATGGTTGACGAATTCGGAACGAGTTCTAATGCAGAAATTCAATCGCTCCAATAAATACCAACCACTTGTGGAGGAAGTCACACTGCTTCATGTAAACCCCGATTACTCTTATGTTCGCCTTGCAGATAGTCGTGAATCGACTGTTTCAAATCGTCACTTAGCACCATTGAATCAAGAAGGTGAAAGAATTCCGGATATGATCAACATAGAACAGCCAGAAACTTCTGATTCAGACCAATCACCTGTAGAGCAAGTTGGCGAACCAAGATCGTTTTTGGATTCAGAAAGTGAAAGAATAGAACAGCCAGTAACTACTGATTCAGACTAATCGGCTGCAGAGCAAATTGAATCACCATCGAATTTTATTGACGAAGCGATTTCACGAAGATCAGTTAGGGAACGTAGGCTCCCAATCCGTTACAATGATTATATTTTAAAATGATGTGTGGATGAATGTGGTAATATAGAAACACATTATTTATTGCCTCATTCTAATCTAGTTTGTAATGTTATTTTAATGTCATTTCCTATATTGTCATTGCCAATAATTTTGTTGAATAAAACCGTTTATTCTAAAGGTTTTATCTATTCAGTTCACATTCTATACTTTTACCAATGCTTTTACATAAATTTACAAGAACAATTTCCAAATCAAAAGTTTTACATTTATTTCTCAACAATACACCCACGGGCAACTATAGATCTTGACGAACCTAACATGACTATGATGGTGATGGATTCTTTTTATGCCCTCTATCTTTTTACTTTAAGGCTGGACAGTACACCTGTTTCGTTGCCCGAAAATGCTTGATTTCCACGATATCTTCAAATATTTTTTTTAGGGGTAACGTCGAGGGTTGTTAGGGGCCTGCAATATTTTGTAAAAGAAAAAAGGAAACAAATTTTCCGGACGTTATTGCCTAGATACCTATTAACTTTACGAACTTATAGCAATTTTGGAAATTGCTTGGACTTCATTTATAGATAAGTTATCTTGGAAAAACGACTTAAAAGTTTACCACGAGAAAGCGAAAATATAGCTTCCGCCGCGCGGCTACAGATAGAAAATGTGCATTATAATTAGACTAAGTTTTATGTTTCTACCATCGAACACACATTAATATTATTAATAACCAAATTTGGGGATTGACAATAGGCAACTTTACATACTCCGTTCTGTATGTAGTGTCCAGTGATCAGGTGAACTGAAATACTTCACTTCACTTTGATATTGAAGATCATTTTTAGTATAGCCATGATTACTGATATGTAGCTTTAAACAAACCAGAAATCCGAAATGAGTAATATTACTTACAGATTTCTTCTGGAATTGATCGACTGTCCGCCTATATATAGGGAATTTGGCTATGTATACTTAAAAAAATCGGATCAAACGCATGTACGAGTAGTAATAGATGGCTATAATAGGTAACCTCTGCATGAATTTGTTTTAAACGTTAATCAACGTCTGCCATGGAAACAGTAACTTGAATGTTCAATGTCAAATTAGCGTCAGCAATTAGTTCTTTATTTTAATTATTAGCAGCAATTTGTAAATTTTTAGCGCATTTTTCAAGACCGGACCCACTTCTGCCGTTATGAACTACGTTTCTAGGGGCCTGGTCCTAGAGTCCTGGAATTTCTTGCAGTAGATACTCTATACCTTGAAGGTTTGCCAGAGAGCCATCAAATTTCGCAGTCTAAATGTCCCCCCCCCCCCCCCACGAATTATTTCCTGAGATGCTGTTTTTGAAAGTAAAACGTGCATAATTTTTACATACGACAACCAATTGGTCCCAGTTTGTGGTGCCAAGTTAAACTTTAGAAAATGGGGGGGGGGCACACGTTGTACCCTTCATGGTATTCTAATAAAAGGTCTCATCGAAATAAATTGGTTTGTACAAACTATAACCACAGATATACGTAAAATATATCTGTGCTATAACTTTCCCGTGCGACTCAGTGAGCGACGGGGCCGGGGGGGTTAAAAATTAATTTTATCTCTCACTGTATTCTAATTAAAGGTCTCAACGAAAGGAACCGTTTTCTACCAACTACTGCCCTTCTTTCTGTCCTCTTATCAAAGTACGGGGTGGAGGGGGAGGGGGAGAAGTGGAACTAGTTTTATCCTTCATGCTACTCTAATGAAAGGTCTCAACGAAAGGAATTAATTAACCTCAAGAACGGATTGTCGGAAGAGGGATCTCACAAAGGGCGATCGAGGCGTCTGCAAGAAATATATCCATTGGTGATGTCAAAACAAAAGCTATTTCGGTTAAAAAAATTCCCTTTATCTGCACAAGACTTGTGCACAATTTATACTTGTTTACAAACAGATGTATAGCAAAGACGACAGACGGCATTCTTAGAATTAAAGAAATCAAGTCATTGTTCTGGGGGACGAACTCCTTTTCAATACAATTACCTCCCCAGTATTCTGAGGTGATTGTTGTTGTGCTATGGTAAGTTGAAGCGAATGTAAATAGGGTATTTTTATTGGTTGATGAGGGTTGTATATTGTTGTTACTTGTTATTAGGTACGGTACAAAGTTCAGCTATAGGTTAGATAGTATATAGAAAAGTTTCATTTATCGTATTTCCTGTTATATTGATTTCCTGTTCTCTTGTATTTGACTAGATTAGAATAGATTACATAAATTTTACTTCACAATTTCTGTTGTGTTTGGGAAATGCTTACCACTTTGTATTGAGTTTAGAGTAGCAAAACCTCCCAACAAGAAAGCTAAGGTACGATTACCGCAACCAGGTAAGTGGCGGAAGTTGCCTTTTGGTAAGCTGGAGCTAGCCTAGGTTAAAGAGAAATACTAAGCTGCTAAGCCCGCCACTAAGGCGTGTAGATTGCTCTTATGCTTCGGCAGTTGGTTAAAAAATTATATTCTCATAGAGTTTTTTAATCTATTTTTTTAAATAACACAACTTTAATACAAAGATTAGGTATAAAAATTCTTGAGCTTCGATTACGTAATGGTATCGGGACATCCCAGATTTTCAGAAATACATTTTCTGGTGTTTATATTATACCTATATGCGTGATGTTTACAGTACATAATTAGTGAATGGAAATACGGCGAATTACGGCGTTGTTATTGTCTGCAATAAAATTGATCTTAGGTCAATAGTAGGAAAGTTTCCGTTAATTCTTTTATTGCAAATAATTCATTGAATTGATATTAATCAAAAACATTTAGTTTAATGGAAAAACCCATTATAAAAGAATAGTTTATTGTTTTCCTATTGCCTAAACGCACCGTCTTACTCTGAGGTATTATTCTTTTTACGAAACAAACTTAAGCAAGTATATCAAGTCATCGCGCTATAAATATAATCATAATCAAACTGTATACAGGGTGTCCAACATAAAAATAAACAGTACACGGATCTCGGACTCGGGCACCGTAAAAGTTGTAAATATGTGTCATCTTGGAGAGCGAAACAGTGGAAATGAAAAAGTGTCTTGTATTTCTTTATCCCACTTACAATAACCCCAGGTACAAATGTTGAGAACAATTTTAGTATTACGAACGTTTTGGTTTCACTAGCAGTGAAATAACTACACTGATCTCTTTAACAATAGTTCTTTGTGGCAAAGAAAATATACTGGCGCGCTTGTTTAGTTTGTCCTTGGTTGTTTAAATTATGCTACTAAAACTTGCGTATTTCAGGATAGTACCTATTTATCTTTATTTTATCCGATTGCACAATAACGATTTCTTGTAGTGTAATAAACTGACACATAGCTTCGCTTGTGGGTATTAATTTATCCAACTGCTAAAGTTCATGGAGACACACTGGAATTTTTGGTGCGTGAACTGTCGCAATCACTCTTTCTAATTCGGAGTCCGCATCTGTGTTTATGGTTGTCGATTATACCATAACCAAAGAGTAACTAATAATAATTATTCTTTGCCATAACCGCTAGCCGTTATTCCAAAAGTAGGTATTTTATAGAGTCTATGCATTAATACCAATGGTCTTGACTGGCGTTCCTTTTTCACGTCTCATTACGAATCTAGAAAAGACTTAAAATTCACAGTTTTTTTTCTACAGAATGATACATCAGGTAGCTAAAATAGCTCCTTACGTATCTAAAGTACCTAACACGAAGTAGAAAGGAGGCAGTAAGAGCTACAAGTTGCGTCAGTAAATTAAGAAATTTGATGGATAGATAATTTATTTTTTTAATTTTCTATAGTCATCTTATGGCATTATTTTCAGTCTAATCCATCACCAGGGAGTCAACAAGCACACTAATGTTAAAATAGTAGATCTCTAATCTTTTCAGGTTATATAAAATTACTTCTGATACATTGAATGTATTGTTACCGGAGCAACATAATTCACATTTATAACAAATATTCGAATATAATTCACTACAATTAAATACTTGGTACGTAGACAGAAGTGACAAAGGCAGTGTTAAATTATTAATTTTTTTGGCAGAATTGGTCAAACTGTCTACTACCGTTGAATATGGCGTAATTCTTTCATCTGAACATCGGTGGGAGATATCATGGTCTTTAGTATATCGCCCTAAGAAAAAACCTAAAAATTCACACGGTGGTTAAACCTGCGATTTTGTTTCAACTGCTACAAACCTCCAACAACTGAGAAAAATGCACAAACAATCACGAAACTAAAGCACAATCTTTTGGAAACAACTTCCTCGCTGGTTTCGATGCAGCCTGCCGTTTGGCCACTTAAAACACGTTGCATTTTAACACGGAACTAGATACTTTAGGTGTCATTAGACATATCAGTGAAAATCAGTTGTAAACATATTGTAGACTTGCTCGTATTGGCAAGTTCCCAAAAGTATAATAAGCTTCTTATCCAACAAAAATATTTCTTCTCAAATCCATTTAGTTTTGCCAAAATCTGTGCACGATCATTTTTCACACAAGTCATATTGATGTGCGAATCTGACAGAATTATTCAATGATGATTTTTTGGCTAGGTATATGTACCTTTAACGACGTAGGAGATAAAAGGTGTGATTTTAATAATAACACAGAGCGTTTTGTCGCCAGAACTGAGTAGGTAAGGCCTGCCAAAATAATTCACAATTCATAAATCAAATTGCCATTTCTAAATTTACAATTGATAATTTCAATTTATTTAAAAAGTACTCGTAGTTGAATTGTGACATAAGCATCCCACGCAAAAACGCTACTTTTTTGTCCAATTCATTTTATTTGAACATAACGTGATATTTCTGATTTGGGTCAAACGGCCTTGAAGACACATTATTTATTATTCTATTGTGTTTGTGTAATTGTAAAAGTGGTAAAATAACAAACATTTAAATTG